GATATCACCTCAGTGCAGTGAGCTGAAGTCAAGTACACTCACCTCCTTCAGTGATTGCACACTTGGAAACAGTGTAGTGCTTATTTTAATCAGGCCAGGTAGCTATAACACAGTTTTTTAGGTACATCTGCTTCAAGCTTGGCAGCTATAATGAGGAAACCCCAACACTGGAATCCAGACACATGGTGGTGCAGTGAAATGAAAAGCACAGCATGTGGTCATAGAAATAATCAGGTTGTTTTAGGTTAGATGTCATGCAGGGCCACACTTTAGATTGGCCGTCACTACACTTGTCTGTGATCCAGACCTCTTCAAACAAACATCTGGGAGTGTGGACGCAGATTGCATCCTGCTGTATCTATGTACACTGCAGTAAGCTCCCAGTCAAAAACAAACCAATGATTAACAAAGAAGTTGTGAGGCCACGTGTCCACTGTTCATTTATGTAACCTGCATCTGTTGTCTGTCTTCTGGATGATTACTGACACAGCACATAAAAGCTCACAGCCACAATCTCTGCTTCCGTTACTGGGCTGTGCAGCCTGAGTGCTTAATGCTTCTCATTGTTTATGCTATTTTAAAGCAGTTACAGTCATGATGTCCACTGTGTTTTGACAAATTTGTTGATAAAATTATACGTTTTTTAAATTGTGACTATAATTTTTTTTTGTCAATCACAAATCCATTTATGCTTATAACAATACATTACCAATGGTTATTAATGGTTATTTGTTTTTTCAATTAAATATGCTACAACTGACAGACACGTCTCTCTAGTAGAGACACAATCTGCAAAATATGGATGAAAAATACAGCCATCACCACAAATCAGGACATTAGCTGCTTTCACAGTGGCTGAAGCTATGCTAACGGCTGGCAGCTAAGATATGGACCTTGGAAGGCATTAAAAGTGACAGAGCAGAGAAAGATTAAGAGATGGAAATAAACAGCGGACAGAGCTGCAGGAGACAAACTGTTAATGATCTCAATCAATTGATCTCACAGTAAACACTGAGGAGTGTTGTAGCGTTACGTGACGCTCAAACGTCATAACTCCTACTTCTGTATTTGTACATATTCAATGACAGCAGTCCTTCTCAAATAGTGGGGCAATGCCGGGGGGGCGTCTGACCCCGTGGCAGTGTTAATTTTGTCAATGAAAACTTAAACAAAAACTTGACGACCCATTTTTCTGTGACTAATTTATGACGATGATGTAAATTTAAGAAGCACCAACGACAAAAATGAAAACAAAATCTCTGTTCATTATCACTTGACGAGTATAATTCATCCCACATCTACCCAACCGGTCGAGGCAGATGGCCGTCCCTCCCTGAGCCTGGTTCTGTCGGTGTTTCAGTTCCTTCCCACTGTTGCAGACTGCTTGCGGACTGCTGAAGCTTATAGGGAATCCAAATGTTTTGGATTGTTGGGTGTTTCTGCCTTTGTTAAGTGCTATGAGATGACTTATTGTTGTAAATATGCGCTATACAAATAAAATTGAATTGAACTGAATTAAAGACGTGACGAAAAAGATGACGCTGGCCTGCCGGACAATCTGGATTACAACCATCCTCTATGCCAGTGTTTGTCAAAGTGTGTGACGCCTCCCCAGATTCACATTTTAACAGCAATCACAGTTTTTCTATAAACATGATGGCCTGTAGTATGGACATTTAAAATGCGCTCAGTTCGTAGAAAAGTCCATTAAAAAAAAAAAAAAAATTAAATTTAAAAACATGGTAAAAACTCTGCTAATAGAAAAAATTTCAAGTTGGGCAATTTTGTGTAGAATGCACTTTCCACAGTTTTCTGACAAATTTTTGGTCGCTCACCTCTCAGAGGAGCTGCACTGAACACACCTGGTAGCATCTACCGGAGCAGCATGTGAGGCGTTTCGGGATAATCGGTACCCATGAGCATTTTCAGCAATCGTTTAGCCTGTGTCCAGTTAATGACTGATATTGGAAGAGGATTGGTGACAACATAAAATATTTTAAGGTTAAAACATTTTACAAATATCAAGCATATCACTGAAAATCATTGCAGCGTAACTAAGTTATGCAAAAACAACTATTCATCAGCATTCATGGTACATTAAGAGCTGTGGCAATGCTGAACCAAAGTAAGGGAGTGGGGCGACCAAGTCATCAGCTGGTGCAACCAATGAGCCATTGGAAAAGTTAGTCTGGAGCCCTGTAACAGAATCACCAAGTGCAAGAAACCACGTCCAATAGCTGAGGATCTCCTACTCCCCACTGCTCTTGATATGGTGTCAACAATGACTAATAAGACTACCACCGCAAAACTGAAGGCTATCCCCCCC